TCTCAACATGCCTAAACCATCAAAAGCTGGCACAAAGGCACCCAGAACAACCACGCAAGGGTGGAGAACATAGCTTCCTACCCCCACCCAAATTACACTTACCAAGGCTGGGCAGCTTTCCTTTGCCATTCTGAAATCTGAAGGGGGATAAGAATTGCAAATCCAGAAAACAGCACTCTCCCTCTCTCTCCCCAAATAGCTTTATAATATTACTATGCATTTTAAAGAAATCACTGAAATCTTATCTCATTAAAAGCCAGAAAAACCCTTAATTTTACAACTCTAAACACACTGCCTTGATATCAGATATACTGGTGGCAGAGGTAGAAAGACAGCAATTCAAACTCTTAGGAATCCGACCAAACCTGAACCCAAATTCTTCTCAGCCCCTTCCCTCTATCAATCCCTACCATCTTGGGCGGCATGCTTGGTAGCTCCCTGCTTTTTTGATTCCATTACTCATTATCTAACTTATTCTGTTATCCCAACTTGGCCAGTGTTGGGACTGTGTGGGACAGCGACCCTAACCCAAATTAAACTCAGAGACTTCTCAAGGTGGAAAGCAAAGGTTACCTTTATTACAATCTCGCAAGATGGCTGTCTGCTCCTTCGATACATGGAGAGAGAGGAGACTGCATAACAGGGGCCCCTATAAAAGCAAATCTCTGCCCACCATGCAAAGTCTCACCCACTATGCAAACAAGTTTCCACCCACACTATCCTTACCCCTTAACTGGGGATGGGCTTACATTCTAAGCTCTAAAGCTTCTTCCTATCCCCTTAACTGGGAGGTGGGCTTATATTCCAGGCCCAAAATTCAAAGACAGGGAAAGAGGTGGGAAGCCAAGGGCAAATGGCTCAGTGTGGGGTGGGGCAGGGCTTATTCTTTCTGTTAAGTGCTTAAAAACAGGGTCTGAGTGGGGGAGGATTTTGAAAATAATAATCACAAATTATTGACCTTTTGAGGAGGCTTCATCTCTGAGAGTTCATCTCTCACAGGACCACCCCCCAAAAATCTTATTAATCTCCACTGAAAGTCTAAAGTGGGAGTTCTTTTCCACTGTTTCTTCTCTAATTTCAGACTTAAAAATTTTCTGGCAGCATAACATTTATAAGACAGACAGAACGTGTGCACGATTCTAATTCTAATCTTGACTGGTCTTTCCTTCCAGCAAGAAGCAGAGTCTGATTCCCCCAGGCTAACAGCTCTCCTTCCCCTTCCTCAATGCCTTTTCCTTTGAGCTCCTTCCTCCCATTTCTAGACCATTCCTCTAAAAGCCCCATCTGGGCTAGCCTCAACAGTTGTCAGAAATGAGGATTCTGTGGACCAACAAGGCAGGTACTCTAGCCACAAATTTTTCCCTGCTTTGATCAACAGGTCTACTTTACATGGTCTACAGCCAGTTCTTCCCTTTTTCCTTAAATCTGTTCAAACACTCCATTTGGCAAATACCGAGTCTCAGGTCTCATATGCAGCCTGGGTGAGCCAGAGAGAAAAGCAGAGGACCACCAAAAATTGGTGGGAGCCCTCTTCCTCCATTTACCCCTCAAATAACCACTCCGGGGGCCTTAAGAATATTCTGGACAATTCGCCACGTTTGTCATAAAAACCCCAGACTTAATTCAGAATTCAGCCTGAGACTGGGCTCGGCGAATTTCCAAACAAGAGTTAGCTGGGTAATAATGAAATCACAGTTGTGGAGTGAGAGAAGAGATGCCTTTTTCATCAATTCTCATGAGAATTAGGTGTGTATGCGCCCTCAAGGGAACCACACACTTATACAGGAGCACAGCAAGCGGTTTTATAGGATTACTTGGCTTTAACTAAAGCCCAACTTGTCCCAACATTCCTGCATGTCCCAAGTAATATCTGTGTTTGCAATGCAATATCTATTGTTTCTATAGAGCCTGTGAAAACCAATCTCTCACTCATCTTGTTTACATGTTTGTGTAAAGCAGTAAACCAATAAACCAATCTCCCTCATTTCTCACACTGTTCAATTAATTATTGGAACTCTAGAGGCTTTCTGCGCGGGGGAGGGGGGGGGGGAGGGGACTGACTACTCCAGGTTAATGTTGATTCAAATTGCTGAAGCCTGAGATTCCCAGAAGGGCAGTTTTTTATCTGATAAACTTCTAAAAGGAGAATGGATTTTTTTGCTCTTTTAAAGAAGTAGGAAAGAAACGGGGAGAAAATTATTCAGGGTAGTAATTGTCACCACGTGTCTTTTTAAAGGAATATATGAATTTGTGGAGAAGATTTCCTTTTAAAGGGCTGAGACTTTGGATTTAAAGCAAAAATGTTTTTAAATGTTTATCATTAACGATCACAAATTCAGGTCTGATTTGATTTAAGTTTACTGTTCTGTAAAGGGAAAAAAAACAGTTGTTTTGGGATAGAAAATGATATGACTGTAAAGTGCTTAATACAATGGCATATGTTAGACATAGCATTATTATTATTTCTCTAATTCAATGTAACTGTTAAAAGTACCAAGAGTAATAAGATCAATAATTTGTATATGTGATAATCTGGAAATGCAATTGATGTTATCTGAAGTTTATTGTTTGTGTTATTACTCTATTTCTAAATTGTATTGTATTTCTAAAACTCTTAGATTATAATATTTGAGGGACCACTGTGAGGTAGAAATGGTGCTAAAGCAGTTCTTAATCGGGAATGGGTCTTTTGAAAGGATATCATACAAATGAGATACTTTGAAAACTTGGTTATATTTGGTTATAAGCAAGTAATAATAATATTGGTATTTACTATGGTAGCAGATTTTCATTTGAAATCTTGACTATTATAAAAATATGTGATGGTTTAAAGTTATAGTTTCAATATTAATTATGAGATGAATGATTTTCTGTGCAAAGTGATTTGGAAATGCATTCATCTAAATTGACAATGGGTTATTTCAAAGTTTATTACTATTGTGGAAATATAATGTGTGCCCTGTGGTACAAACCTATTGTGAACAACTTACTGATATGCGCTGTTCTGGAATTAATTAGGCATCCTCCCATATATCAGAGCCTCAATTAGGAAAAAAACTGTGTGTGAATTTATGGATAATAATCCTTTCCTTTAAAGTACTAAGAGTATTAGGCCTTAGAAATTAAAATGTACTGTTGAGGTTTGGAGGTTGGGGATAGTGGGACCCACAATTGCAACTCGTGGGTCCTGCCCAGAAAAAAAAAATTGACCCAGGCCTTCTTTCGGCCTATGACAGCTTGTTCCATGTAAGCCAGGCTCTTGAAGAGTCTGAATATTTGTGATGCTCATAAGGATGAGCGGGTATGGGGAAGTCTCGGCTATGAGGGGGATCTGGGAGTGGCCAGGTGTCTTGATGGGAGTGTCTGTGAGGTTGAATGGGGTCTAAATAAGATCAGGGATGGAAAGTATGGCCTGGGGAAACTGCTAGACCAGGTGGAGTGGTTCAGGGAGAAAGGGTTTGTTTTGGGGGGCCAAGCTTGGGCCCATACCCCATCATTGCCATTAATGATTATGAATCCAGATTTGATTTAGTCAATCCAACTAAATTAACGTCATCTGACAGTAATTAATTGGTTCTGTTTCAAGTTTTAAATATATGATAGGTGCTTATGGTATGGTTGTATTTCTGAATTTTCTTATATGGTGTAATCTGGTAAACAACTGTATCAGCTATGTTGTTAAAAGCAATTTCTTATAATCTAGAATGTTGACTAGATTAAGAATTATACTATCACAGAAAGAAAAAAAAAGGAATGGGTTGGGAAGCTGTTAGGTTATTCTATCTGACCCTGTGTTGCAATATTTTTTTTAAGTACTATAATTTGGGAAGCAAGAAGTTTTGTCTATATTTAAAGGGAAGTTTTAGCTGGGATTATTTGGTTCTCATTTATGAAATTTAAGATTGTTAACTAAGCTATTGGGAGTTATTGGTTTTGTTTGTTTTTTTAGTGAGGCAATTGGGGTTAAGTGACTTGCCCAGAGTCACAGGGCTAAGAAGTGTTATGTGCCTAAGGCTGTTTGAACTTAAGTCCTTCTGATTCCAGGGCCGGTGCTGTATCCTCTGTGCCACTTAGCTGCCTCCTGGAGTTCTTGTTTAAATTAAGCACTTATAAAAGTATTTGTGTGTGTGTGTGTGTGTGTGTGTGTGAAAGGAAACCTGGTAATTATGCAAAGAAGAGACTTTGTAAAATCTTGTAATCGTTATCAACCCTGTGCAGGAGTCTTGTGTTGTGGAATTCTTACTGAGTAAATGGCCCATTATAGACTAGAGAATTTTTGACTAGATAATTTAGGTTAACTAGCAATTTTGTGGTAATTAGGAAATTGTAAGCTGTTTTTAAGAAAGGAAAATACTTTTATGCAAAGAAAGTCTTTGGTGTGATTTTTTTAAGAGGGCCTACTAAATTTGCAAGCTAGTTTTGTTGCAAATCATAATCTGATATTGATGACAATTATGTCCAAACTTACTGTGAATTTTGAGTTTGTTTCCTAGGTTTGTTGTGTCCCTGGATGGGTCTTAATGGATGCTTTCTGAGAAACAAGAGTCAAAAGCAGCAACTCAATGGGAAAAGCATCAGAGATCAAAGGCTAGTGATTAATACTAAAGCAACTATTGTAATGAATTGTAAGTGGGGGAGATCTTGCTTTTTTGATATGAATTCATTCCATGGCCTAGCAAGGGTTTAGAACTAATGTTTGAACTTCTCTGAACTGCCTCATTCTTTCAGATTAAGATTGGTTAGAGAAGCATAAATAAGCTTGAGAAAAAGAGAGGCAAATCTGTTAGAGTAGCAACTTATGGTCTTAATGGAAATTTGATTTTACTCAGGATGTTATCAGGAGCTAGAACATGTCTAGGAAGACATGTAAACTGCTTAGGGTTCACTTTGGAAATGTTCCCTAATTAATGTGATATTATACTCACACCTGAAACCCTGATGAAGGGAATTTGCTATCAAAGATCTTGGGGACTGTTAATGAATTCTGACTCTAACTCCAGGTATTGTCAACAAGGAACTGATTGAGCTACTAACCCATGATGCCAGAAACCCTGTGAGGGGTTTGTGAGCTGCATCTAGGAGCTGCAAGAGAGTGTTCTCATGAGAAGATTGGGAGAATGACTTTTCTGCATGACTGAGAGAGGATTCTCCTGACTCAATTTCCCCACTATGACACCTGGCAGACTTTAAGCCTGGCTCAATGCAGTTGGCTATTAAATACCTTCTGCCTGTAATTGACATGAAGGTAGGGAAGAATTGTTCCTTTACTTTAGTTATGTCCCTATTCTTTCATGGCAAATGTTTAAATTCATAAGTTTTGTAAGCATAATATCAAATCTATTAAATAATAGACTGATGCAGGAACATCTGAGGTTATTATAGTAAGATGCAAGTATAAGATTTAGTTATTTGGCCTAGAATTTTAGAATTAAGTATTCAGTCTTGACATCTATTACTAGTACATTCCTGTATAAGTCAGGGAGAGTCCTTTAATTTCTTACAATGGTATGGGGATAGTTAGGAAGCCAGCTTTGTGGAACGAAAGATATTATTCTGTTACTTAGTTAATACTTAGTTAATATTAAAGTTGTCTCAGTTTGTTACAATTAATGTTAAAAGAAGAGTGGCTTGTGGCCTAGCTTGTAAACGCCTTAAAAGAAGCATCTATTTTAATTATGGATTATTTATTTGTACATGACCAGAAGTTGGAATTGTTTTATTACTTGTACAGTTTTATTACTTGTGCAGTTTTAAAACTGATTACTATGTATTGGAGTCTGTTATTAATTCCTTAATAGAATCTCCTCCTCCTGATGGGGGAATATGAATAAGAATGAATAATGAATTAATGCAAGGTATAAAACTAGAACTAATGCAGAGTGTAAGGCCAGGTTCTAATTTTTCTGTTACTTTTCTAATTTGAGTTTCTTAAACATGACAATTCGCCAAAGTTCCAATTTTTGATCCTATAATAATGAAGACATAAGGGTTGAGTTAACTTTCATTATTTGCCCTGGTTATTGGCAAGGTAATTTAAAAATTGTGTTAAGATCAATCTTATAGGAGAACAGACCCAAGAAAGAGAATCTCTACAAGAAGACAGTCTGCTGGACACTGCTTGAACAGCACCAAGACCAGAAAACTTCCCTGTATGATGTCCAGAATGCCAGACAACTGTATGAACAGAGACTTCTGCAGCCTTAAATGGACAATTTATCATTACTTTGGGGTCTCTGTATCTGTATTTACTAAGGGGACAGCCCCCTTTTTGATTTGTCAATGCATTGATCAATTTCTCCCTTCCTTCTCCCATACTGTTATAAGTTCCCAAAATCCCTTGATGAAATGTTGACCAATAGCACAGCTCCAGATGGAACCATTACTAAGGCATCGCAAAGTCTAACCACTTTTTAGCTGAGGAGCTGGCAGAGAACTCTGGCATAGATAATTAATTAAAGGAATAGTCAGAATCATGGGTTGGCAAATGGAAGGTAATGGCAGAAGACAGCTGGGGTATTGACAGTTGTAGGCTATTGCATAATATCTTGTGAAGAGACTGAGGTGAACCCTAATTATGGTCAAAACTAAATACATAATGAATTAAAAGATGCAGATGTAACAGAGTAAAATAAAAGAAAAAGGGGGATTGTAGGATATATGGATGTTGCTTCTGCATCAGAGGGTGGAGTCAAAGAAATAGTTTTTTTATTATTATTATTTCCACAAAAAGCCAAGTAGAAACCTTAAGGAATGCAGTCTGGGGGCTAGGTGGAAGTTGAACAAAAGGGAATTATAAGAAAACACTCTTGGTGGTGAAAAGACTAACCTGCTGAAAACCAGTTCTGAGGTTAACATAAAAAGGGGTGTTCCCAAATAAGGGCCCAATGGCAGAATTGTGGGGAATGGGAGATGTAATTAGGGGTGGAGGCTCACGAGGGAGAGGAGTAATAGGTGCTTTGGATAGGCTATAACCTCTATAATACCCAATGGATGCTGAAACAAGGGAAGGAATTTCGAATGGGGAATAGGGAATAAAAAGATGTGCATTTGTCGATACATGTGCTCTCACACATACAGGATGCCCAGCCTTCTTCCTAATTCAACAATGGCTTCATGGAATTCATGATATTGATATAGATAACAGGAACCAGCAAAGACTTCAGGAAAAAGTAGTCAAGCCACTTCATTTCCATTCCCTCATCTGCAAAAACTTGGAACCTTAGGAATTATCCAAGACAATACTTCACTTTATAGAGATGAGGAAAGTGAGCACAGCTCTTCCAGCCCAAGGAGAAGGTGGATCCGGGTTTCAGACCTGGGTAAGCGTACACAGCAGTGTTTCTAATAATAATGTTTTAGCCTGGAGAATACCCTAGAGAAACCCTTCTCGTGCCCCCCAGCCTCCATTCTACAACCCAATGCCACACTGCCTCCATCGCTATTTTGCCAATAGGGAACCTGGCTGCCCAAAGGAAGATCCTGGCCACGTGGCTGGGCATTAGCCTCTTCTTGCAGCTGTGTTCCCACATGCTGTCACTTAACTTGGATTCTCTCTCCAGCCAGCCCAGCGCCTTTGCCTCAGTGAGCCAGATAGGACAGCCCTTGCACAAGCAGGGCTCCCAGCCATTCCAGGAGGGACTCAGCTGACTGACTACCCAGGCCAGGCCCCACTTCTACTGTCTACTCCCTCTACCAGTTCAATCTCCTCCTTCACTCTTCTAACCACACCCTAAGTCTCAGGTGACCAGAGCTCGGACCTGCAAATCCCTACCCACAGCCTCCAGCCTACCAGCCCCTTAGCCTAAGGAGGAGCCAGAGTGAGACTCAATCCCACAGAGGCTACTACAGAGGCACAGAAGACCCAAATGGGCTTGACTTGGCCACATCCTGGCTGCTCCATAAGAATAGGACAGGAATAGGAGGCTACGAGTTCTCCTGACTCAGCTGAGGTCAATGACTCACTGACACCCAACCAACCAATCTTTTTCCTTTCCCTAGCACCCTGTGCCTCATAGCATCACACCTGGAGGAGGACTCTTGTACTTCTTCCCCAGGAGAAGAGCTTGCTAACCCTATTTAATCCCCTCTAAGCCTGTCACCCCAGAGGCAAGATTCCCCAAACCTAGCATTTTACACTGCTTTCCATCATTCTCCTAGCTTTTCTTTGTAGCTCTAGAGCCACATGTGGATGCAGATCCTATCTCTAACACTTAAATCCAGCCTCAGACACTTATTAGATCCAATGCTAATGTCAGAAGGCAGGGCAGCCTGGTTATTTCAAGGCATAATAGTGATTGAGATTCTACTCTGTTACACATATATCTTTATATATACATATACATATATGTGTGTGTGTGTGTGTGTATACATACATACATATACGCACATGTGTATGTATGTATATAAATATGTATGTGTATATATGCACATACATAAATACATATACATATATACATGTGTGTACACACAAAACACACACACACACACGAAATGACCATGATTTTCTGAACTGCAAAGCAGGACTCAGACTAAGGCTACTCCCTTTTGTAAAACTTCATAAATAATAATGACTCAAATTCTATATAGCCTACCAAGGTTTAGCAAGCACTTTACTCCCCAAAAGCCATCCCATAATGAGGTTCAGAGATGCTCCGGTACTACTTATCCAAGCTCTCACACGTAATAAGTGGCAAAGAATTATTGCTGCAAGCCAGGTCTCCTAGCCTTGCAATTTGCACTGCTTTTCATTACATACCTATAGATAGCTAGATACTGCCACAATAAACAGAGTGCTGGGCCTGGAATCAGGAAGATTTCAAATCTAGTCGTAGACACTTACCGGCTAGCTGTGTGACCCCAGGTAAGTCACTTAACCTCTGACTACCTCAATTTCCTCAGTACCTACCTTCCAGGGTTGTCATGAGGATAAAATCAGATCATATTTGCAAAGCACTATATAAATGCCAACTATTTATTAAATACACACTTCATTTTCTCAAAATGTGAATTGCCCTGGAACAGACATTACTGTGCAGTACATATATCACTATATATTGGGACAATATGTGTGTGTGTGTGTGTGTGTGGTGTGGTGTGTGTGTGTGTGTTACGGCAGCTGGGTGGTGCAGTGGATATAGTGCTAGGCCTGTAGACAGAAAGACCTTAGTTCAAATCTGGCCCCAGACACTTACTAGCTGTGTGTCCCTGGAAAAGTCACTTCACCCTGTTTGCTTCAGTTTCCTCATCTGTAAAATGAGCTAGAGAAGGCAATGAGAAACTACTTCAGTACCTTTGTGAAGGAAAACCCCAAATGGGGTCATGAAGAGTTGGACACAACTGAAAATGACTAAACAACAACAAAACAAACATATAACTATGGGGTGGGAGGGAGGAAAGACTCTTCTTTGAACTGTGATAAAAAGTGTTTAATAACCAAGTGCTGTCCCTTCCCCTCTCAAGGTCTGTTTCCTCATTTGGGAAAGGAAGAGATCACAGTAAATGACTGTGAAGGTCTGTTCCAGCTCTAACTCCTATTATCAAGAGCCACACCAATGAGGAAACTGAAGCTCAAAGTCACAGTTCACAAGTGGGAGACAAATGGCTGAGGTTTCCAGTCTCAATCCAAGTGACCACTCCTTTCCCCACCCCATTTCCTCAACTGCATGCTCTCCTGCTTAAGACATTTCAACAGCTTTGAACTGAAGGTATAATAAAAAACAATAATAACTTACGTACTTATATGGCTTTATTATTTTCAAAGCACTTTCTTACAGATGATCTAATTTGAGCCTCACAATGAGCTTGTGAGGTAGGCAGGGCAGATATTATTCTAATTTGACAAATTAGGAAATGGAGGTTCAGAAGTGAAATAACTTGCCCAAGGTTACACAGCAGAATGAGATAGTTGAAGTCCCTTGGCTTTTTTCCAGGGCATCCTGACATATAGAAAGGGTAGGATGGGGAAAAGACTGGATTTGGAATTGGAGGAGCTGAATGAAAATCTTTCCTTTGTGACAATTCTCTGGGCCTCAGATTCTTCCTATAAAATGGACTGAGTGACCTGGCCTGTCCACTGGTCAACTCTAGTCCTTTTGTCTAAGATCCTTCTTTAGCCATGGCAAAGGTATCCTATATTTGCAGGCATCAGTTTTCCCAGCTATGATGTTGGGGAGAAACCTTCATAGCATGCTGAATTTACAGTAAAAGGACCTGGACTCGAATCCCTGGCTCAGCAACTGAGGTAGGATTTGAACTCAGACCTTCTGCTACTTACTATCTACCTGTATGAACCCTGGGCTAATCATTTCATTTCTCTAGGCCTCAGTTTTCTCTTTTGTAAAAATCAGGAGGCTGGCCTAGTACTAGGTAATCTCTAAAGTTAATTCCAGCTTTAACTTTCTGATTACAATCATTTCTCTTTCCTCCATAAGGATGTATTAATAACAATAATTTTAGTTTTTGCTGTTGTTGTTCAGTTGTTTTTAGTCACGTTCAACTCTTCATGACCATATTTTGGGGCAGAGATACTAGAGTTGTTTCTCATTTCCTTCTCCAACTCATTTGACAGATAAGGAAACTGAGGCAAATAAAGTTAAGTGACTTGCCAGGGGTCATATAGCTGGTAGATGTTTGAGGCAGGATTTGAACTTAGGATGAAGAGTCTTCCTGACTTCAGGCTCTGTGCTGCCACTAATAGTTCAAACTATTTAATGCTTTAAGGTTTACAAAGCACTTTGCATATGCAAACTCATTTTATCCTGGGAGGTAGGTACTAGTATTATCCTCATTTTATAGTTGAGGAAACTGAGGCTTAACCAGGTTAAAAGACTTACCCAAGGTTACCCAGCTAGGAAGTATAAGAAGCAGGCTTTGAACTCAGACCTTCCTCACAATACAAGTCCTACACTTTATCCATTTCAACCTAACTGTTTAAGAGTCTTGAAGACAAATAAAATGGAAATGGGAAAATGTTATGTAAACACTGGCTGAGCCCATAGACACTAACACTCTAGAGAATGAGCCTAGGTTTGCAGGGGTAAAGAGTCCATTTAACTAGGATTTTTTTTAACCTCCATTGAGCTCTTCACAAAGGCTTTTCACAGATGTTATCTTATGTGATCTTCACCTCAACTTTTGCAGGGAGATATTATTATCTCCATTTTACACTTGAGGTTCAAAGAGTTTAAATGATTCACTCAAAGTCTGATATATAATATAGGTTAAGTATGAACTAGAACCCAGGTCTTTGAGCCTTAATCTAGTGTTTCTTCTATCTGCGTCAATCAGTCAACCAATCAACAAGCATTTATTAAGTACTTACTATGTGCCAGGAAATCCCAAGTACTAGGGGACCCAAAAAGATGCAAAAACAGTCTCTGCCCAGAAGGCACTTACCTTCTAATGGGAGAAAGGACATGCAAATAGTTCAGCACATACATGATACATACAGAGCTGGCAGAAGTTTGTCTCTAAGGGGAAGGCACTGGAAGCTGGGGGAAATGCTTAAGACCTCCTGCAGAAGGTTGTCTTGGAGTTGAGTCTTGAAACATGCAAGAGATTCTAAAGAGGTGGAAATGAGGATGAATGTTTAAAAAATGGAAATGCTTGGGTTCATTACCAATAATGAACATTTTACGCCACAAAGGAAAATTTTAAAGTATTTGCCTCAAATGACCACCTTTGTCCTCTGAAGATCCCCAAGGAAAATGGCAGTAGAGGATGTGGAAAGAATACTGAGCTTACAGCCTTGGTCTTGATTCTAATAGTAGCACTTGGTCTTGATTCCAATACCAGCATGTCACTTTTTAAGTGTAATATTAGGCAAATAACTTCAGTTCTCTAGGCCTTTCCTAACTAGAGAATGGGAATTATACTTCTTACCCTGTAATCTCCTTACAAAGTTGCTGACAGGAAATCATTCTGTAAGAAACATAACATAAACTATAATTTATTATCTGCAAAATGAGATCATAAACATAATTACTGAATAACATAAAGAATATAAGCTCCCAATGGGCTTTTTGGACTATTTGTTATTTTTAAAAAAAAATAGTTGATGGATATGAACAGGCAGTTCTCCGATGAAGAAATTAAAGCTATTTACAGTCATATGAAAAAAATGCTCTAAGTCACTATTAATTAGAGAAGTGCAAATCAAAACAACTCTTAGGTACCACATCATACCTATCAGATTGGCCAAGATGACAAAACAAGGAAATTAAATGTTGGAGAAGATGTGGGAAAATTGGAACACTAATGCATCGTTGGTGTATTGTGAAATGATCCAACCATTTCTGCAGGCAATTTGGAACTATGCCAAAGGGCTATAAAAATGTGCATACCCTTTGACCCAGCAATAGCACTTCTAGGGCTATATCCCAAAGAGATCATACAAATGGGAAAAAGACCCACATGTACAAAAATATTTATAGCAGCTCTTTTTGTGGTGGCAAAGAATTGGAAACTGAGGATGCCCATCAACTGGGAAATGGCTGAACAAGTTGTGGTATATGAATGTAATGGAATACTATTGTGCTATAAGAAATGATGAACAGGCTGATTTCAGAAAGATCTGGAAAGATTTGTAGGCTGAGTGAAATGAGCAGAACCAAAAGAAAGTTGTACACAGAAACAGCCATGCTTTGTGAGGACTAATATTGATAAACTTAACCCTTTCCAGCAATACAAGGATCTAAGACATCTCCAAAGGCCTCATGATAGAAAATGCTATCCACATCCAAAGAAGGAACAATGGAATTTGAATGCAGATTAAGTACAGTATGCTATTTTTTTCCTCTTCTGTTGAGTTTTGTTTCCTCTTTCTGGTTGGTTCCTCCTATTGGTTCTAATTCTTACTTACAACATCACTAATGTGAAAATATGTTTAATAGGAATGTATATGTAAAGCTTATATAAGATTGTGTGCCATCTTCAGGAGGGTGGTGTGGAGGAAGGGGGAGAAAAATTTTAAACTCAAAAGCATATTGAAGTGACTGTAGATAAGTCAAAATAAATTAATAAAAAAAAAATTGACTTGGGTCTCTGCTCAGAGTCTAGATTCCAGTTGCAGCTGTGTTCCTGACTGAGAGGCCTCTTTACATGATATCTAGGGTGCATTCATGGAATAGAAATCACTGGGCCAGGACTAGCAAATCACTTTGGAGACTGGTTCAGGAAGAACCCAAATCTAGTTCATCTCAGTGGATACTCAAGGCCTGAAATGGATAATATTACAGTAGAAAGAATACAAGGAATGTTAATAACTTGTGAGAGAATCCCATTCTTTTAACCCTATGTTGGACCATAGCAATGTTGAGTTACAATTCCAGTTTTCTAATTCAAGTAAAGAGATATCTTTCAGTTATTCTATCTCATGCATTAAGCTTCACTGTCTCTTCATATTACAGTAGACAGAATAGAAGCAATGTTAACAACTTCCAAGAAAATCCCATCCTTTTAAACTTATGTTGGCCAACATCAATGTTGAGTTACAATTGTACTTTTCTAATTAGACTAAAGAGATATCTTTTAGTTGTTCTATTCCATGCATTAAGTTTCAAAGTCTCTACATGTTACAAGAGAAAATATACAAAGAATGTTAACAACTTCTGAGAATAGCCCATCCTTTTAATCCTATGTTGGGCCATAGCAATGTTGAGTTACAATTCCACTTTTCTGATTCAACCAAAGAGATATCTTTTAGTTATTCTATCTCATGAATTAAGCTTCACTGTCTCTTCATATTACAATAGAAAGAATAGAAGGAATGTTATCAACTTCTGAGGAAATCCCATTCTGTTAATCCTATGTTGGGCCAAAGCAATGTTGAGTTACAATTTCATTTTTCTAATTCAACTAAAGAGATATCTTTTAGTTATTCTATCTCATGCATTAAGCTTCACAGTCACTACATATTGCTATAGAAAGTATAGAAGGAATGTTACCAACTTCTGAGGAAATCCCATCTTTAATCCTATGTTGGGCCAAAGCAATGTTGACTTACAATTTCATTTTTCTAATTCAACTAAAGAGATATCTTTTAGTTATTCTATCTCATACATTAAGTTTCACAGTCACTACATATTACTATAGAAAGAGTACAAGAAATGTTATCAACTTCTGAGGAAATCCCATTCTTTTAATCCTATGTTGGGCCAAAGCAATGTTGAGTTAGAATTCTACTTTTCTAATTCAACTAAAGAGATATCTTTTAGTTATTCTATCTCATACATTAAGCTTCACTGTCTCTTTACATTACAATAAAAAGAATAGAAGGAATGTTAACAACTTCTGAGAAAATCCCATCCTTTTAAACCTCCTTTAAGCCATAGAAATGTTGAGTTACAATGCCACTTTTCTAATTCAATTAAAGAGATATCTTTTAGTTATTCTACCTCATACATTAAGCTTCACAGTCTCTACATATTACTATAGAAAGAGTACAAGAAATGTTATCAACTTCTGAGGAAATCCCATCCTTTTAATCCTACTTTGGGCCAAAGCAATGTTGAGTTACAATTTCATTTTTCTAATTCAACTAAAGAGATATCTATTAGTTATTCTATCTCATGCATTAAGTTCACAGTCTCCACATATTAAAAGAGAGAGAATACAAGGAATGTTAACAACTTCTGTGAAAATCCCATCCTTTTAAACCTATGTTGGGCTACAGCAATGTTGAGTTACATTTCCACTTTTCTAACTGAATTATAGAGATGACTTTTAGTTATTCTCTCCCATGCATTAAGTTTCACTGTCTCTACATATTACAATAGAAAGAGAACAAGGAATGTTAACAACTTCTAACAAAATCCCATCCTTTTAATCCTATGTTGGGCCACAGCAATGTTGAGTTACAATTCTACTTTTCTAATTCGACTAAAGAGTTATCTTTTAGGTGTTCTATGTCATGCATTAGCTTTACAGCGTCTACATATCATAAGAGCAAAATACAAGGAATGTTAACAATTTCTGAGAATATCCCATCCTTTTAATCCTCCCTTGGGCCATAGAAATGTTGAGTTACAATTTTACTTATCTAATTCAATTAAAGATATATCTTTTAGTTATTCTGTCTCATGCATTAAGCTTCACAGTCTCTACATAGTGAAAGAGAGAGAATACAAGGAATGTCAAGAACTTCTGAGAAAATCCCATCCTTTTAATTGTATGTTGGGCCACAGCAATGTTGAGTTACAATTCTACTTTTCCAATTCAATGAAGGAGATATCTTTTAGTTCTTTTATCTCATGCATTAAACTTTACAGTCTCTACATATCACTATAAAAAGAATACAAGAATGTTACCAACTTCTGAAGAAATCCCATCCTTTTAATCCTATGTTGGGCCAAATCAATGTTGAGTTACCATTTCACTTTTCTAATTCAACTAAAGACATATCTTTTAGTTATTCTACCTCATGCATTAAGTTTCATTGTCCTTACACATTACAATAGAAAGATGAGAAGGAATGCTAACACCTTCTAACAAAATCCCAAACTTTTAATCCTATGTTGGGCCATAGCAATGTTGACTTACAACTGCACTTTTCTTAATCAACTACAGAGATACCTTTTAGGTATTCCATCTCATGCATTATGCGTCAATGTTTCTACATATTACAATAGAAAGAATACAAGGAAGTTAACAGCTTCTTGAGAAAATCACATCCTTTATCCTATGCTGTTCCATAGCAATGTTGAGTTACAATTCCATTTTTCTAAATTAACTAAAGAGATATCTTTCACTTATTCAATCTCATGCATTAAGCTTCACAGTCTCTCCATATTACAATGGAAAGAATACAAGGAATGTTAACAAGTTCTGAGAAAATCCCATGCTTTCAATCCTAGGTTGGGCCATAGCAATGTTGAGTTACAATTCCAATTTGTAATTCAACTGAAGAGATATCTTTTAGTTATTCTATCTAATGCATTAAGCTTCACTGTCTCTACATATTACAAGAAAAATAGAAAGTAGAATTGTAACTCAACATTGCTATGGCCCAACCTAGGATTAAAAGGATGGGATTTCATATTAGTTGTTAACATTCCTTGTATTCCTTTCTTCTAATATGTATAGACTGTGAAGCTTACTGCATAGGACAGAGCAACTAAAGGTACCTCTTTAGTGAATTAGAAAAGCAGAATTGTAACTCAACATTGCTGTGGCCCAACATAGGATTAAAAGCCTGGAATTTTCTGAGAAGTTGTTAACATTCCTCGTTATCTTTCTATTGTAATATGTAGAGAGAGTGAAACTTAATGCGTGAGATAGAACAACTAAAAGATATCTCTTCAGTTCCAATTCGAAAAGTGCATTTGTAACTCAACATTGATATGGCCCAAAAGAGCATTAGAAAGATGGCATTTTCTCAGATGTAGTTAACATTCCTTGTATTCTTTCTATTATAATATTTGGAGACTGTGAAACTTAGCGCATGAGATAGAATAACTAAAAGGTATCTCTTTAATTGAGTTAGAAAAGTGGAACTGTAACTTAACATTGCTAGGGCCAACATAGGATTAAAAGGATGGTATTTTTTCAGAAGTTGTTAACATTCCTTGTATTCTTTCTACAGTAATATGTGGAGACTGGGAAGCTTAATGCATGAGATAGAATAAATAAAACATATCTCTTTAGTTGAATTAGAAAAGTGCAATTGTAACTCAACATTACTATGGCCCAACATAGGATTAAAAGGATGGGATTTTCTCAGAAGTTGTTAACATTCCTTGTATTCTTTCTTTCTAATATGTAGAGACTGTGAAGCTACAACTAAAATATATCTGTCTAGTTGAGTTAGAAAGTAGAATTGTAACTCAACATTCCTGTAGCACAACATAGGATTAAAAGCCTGGGATTTTCTCAGAAGTCGTTAAATTTCTTGTTATCTTTCTATTGTAATATGTAGAGACAGTGAATCTTAATGCATGAAATAGAACAACTAAAAGATATCTCTTTAATTGAATCAGAAAACTGCATTTGCAACTCAACACTGCTATGGCCCAAAAGAGCATGAAAAGGATGTATTTTCTCAGCAGTACTTAACATTCCCTGTATTCTTTTTATTGAAATATGTAAAGACAGTGAAACTTACTGCATGAGATAGAATAACTGAAATATATCTCTTTAGTTGAACTAGAAAAATGGAAATGTAACTCAACATTGCTATGGCTCAACATAGGATTAAAAGGATGGGATTTTCTCAGAAATTGGTAACATTACTTGTGTTCTTTCTATTGTAATAGATGGAGACAGTGAAGCTTAATGCATGAGACAATATCTAAAAGATATCTCTTTAGTTGAATCAAATAGTGGAATTGTAACTCAATATTACTATGTCTCAACACAGGAAGAAAAGGATGGGATTTTCTCAGAAGTAGGTAACATTCCTTTTATTCTTTCTATGGCAATATGGAGAGACTGTGAATCTTAATGCCTGAGGGAGAATAACTAAAAGATACCTGTTTAGTTGAATTACAAAAGTGGAATTGTAACTGAACATTGCAAGGGCCAGACATAGGATAAAAAGGATGGGATTTTCTAAGAGGTTGTTGACATTCCTTCTGTTCTTTCTACTGTAATATGTAGAGACAGTGAAGCTTAATGCATGAGATAGAATAACTAAAAGATATTTCTTTAGTTGAATTAGAAAAGTGCAATTGTACCTCAATGCTGCTATGGACCAACGTAGGATTAAAATAAGGATG